AGCAGGAAATCTTGGCCAAGGAGGAGGAAGGCATTTACACCACTTCCTGATCTTCCAACTTGCAGATGATATATGATATCTCAGGCTTCTCTCACACTGGCTATTGCCAGGTCTCAGCAGCTTCCTATAACCAATGCCACTGCAGGCTCTAGCTTAATTTTGTTGATTGCAGAAAACAAGGTCAAATAACAGTGCAGATCCCAGCCTAAGTAATGGCAAGACACTGTGAGCTGGATTGGACCCAAGCTGTCCCACCTCAAGGTCAAGCAGCAAGTCAGTAGCAGAACTAGGATGAGAATCCAGATTTCACCACAGAAAGCTCATGATCTCTTTCCTGACTCAGGAGTCCAATCCTGCCCAAGCACTTAGCACTTCAGCACCTCCTGGACCCCCAACAGGATTGAATTGCTAATGGCTGCATTTGTCTAGAGGCTGGCATAACTGCAAGGGACCAATGTGTATCACAACAGGAAATCTTTGTTGTAGACCACCCAGACAGGCACAAAATTTGTCAGAGAAGAAAAGGTTACAGTCTGAGTTAAGCAAGCACAGGGATTTCAAAACCTGGACTGTGAAAGCTCCTGGAAAGCCATCCTTTCAAAGTGAAACCTTCACATGCCCCTGAGTCTGGCCTGCTACTCTTAAGACTGTCTGGCAGTGTTGTAGTCAAGGTAAAACTGCATCACACGTTCCCTCCTGACTGTACAGGGCTCAGGAATACAGCTCGGGAATGGAGCTCTACCAGACAACTGCAATTCCTCTGCTACCCTCTGGGAGTAAAATCCAGCAGCAGATGAATTCTAGGTGACTCAGAAGGGAGGCTGTGGGATGAAGCGCTGGCACTGCCCTTAAGCAGCCCCAGGTGGGTTCCTCCAGCAGTGTCATAAAAGTATAGAGGAAAGGGAATGCACCATTGCTGGAGCCTTGTTTCACAAGTGTCCCTTTCTTGCCAGTTCAAGACCCCGAACAGAGCCCACTTCAGAAAGACATTTAGTGTCACTGCTTCATCCCTCCATAAGCAGGAACAGAGCTTACCTCTGCAGACTGAACACTTTGCACAGTCCTCATCCTAGCGGAGTTTGATGGGAAGGAGAGCTGCAAGCAGTCCCGGGATGCACCAGGAATGCAGGATCTGCTTGTGTTCCCTCCCTCCCGACAGGTGCACAGTGAGATTGTACCTCCGGGACCGGCAGATGTACCACCCCAGCTCTGCAGGCTTTGCTGCTCAGCCTGGCAGGAGCAGATTCAAAGCACACAGGATCACTTGGTGTCCTTCTAGGCTGGATGAGCAGAGGCAGAGACCCGGTGCCAAATTATTCCACCCCCAAGTGCTATCAGAGCTCAGGGGGTGGTGAGAAGCTATCAGCCCTGCCGAGCCGAAGAAAAAACTTCCTCGGCTGTTTGTTGCTCGAGAGCTGCAAGAGGGAACAGGCTCCCGTGAGCAGAAGCGTTCCACATTTGTCACCCTCCAAGTGGCTGGGACTCTGGAAAAGCTCGCAGTCCCCAGGAAGCCCCTCAAGCCAAGGCGTCAGCCCCTCTCCAGCCTCCAGAGACGCCTCTTTGCGCAGCCCCGCTGCCTCTGCCCCGCCAGCCGCAGCTCACCAGCATCTCCCCGGCAGCGCCGCTGCGGACACCGAGCGGAC